TTGTCATAACCTGTCAATCTGAAGACTAATAAAAAAAGCTTTCCTTGGTGACATATTTCATATTGCAAACTTCTGGAGTGACAATATTCTGTTCTTTCTTTACTACAATGTGCAGGTCCTATCACAAAGGCTTTTGCCATGTGGTAATAAGTTTGGCGCTGAAATCCTGTCCAAACAAACAGGCCATCTAAGCATTTATTTGATTCAAAGAGAACCAAAGGAACCAGTCATAGAACATGCCAAATTTTAAAATTTCTTCCCTATTTTTATTCCTTATATTTCCTCCTTTAACTAATAACTCAACTTTCTTTGTCACAACCATTCTAGTCCTCCTCCTTGCCAATCTTTATCATATTCTGCTTACTATTTTAAAGTACTAAGTTGGAGAAAAAGTTGTACAGTGTTTAATTTTGTGAACTACTATATGTGTCAATAAGGTACACTAATGATGGCCATTACTGGAAAATGCATGAGCATTCATAGGTGGCAATATTAATGAATCATTTTGTTTTATGCAGTATTAAGCTTACATGCAGGTCAAGTTACACCAGGAAAAGAGTAGTGTTAATTTGATCCATGTTACATCCTCCATGCAGCTCAAGGCAGCATGTGTTGTAAGCCGCCCCGAGGTTTCGGCAAGGGGCGGCATAGAAATGTAATAATAATAATAATAATAATAATAATAATAATAATAATAATATATTCTTCTACTCATTCTTTTTATCCCCAGAACAAAACTGCAAGCTCAGTTTAGGTTAGAAAAAATATGAGTTATGGGGAATCATAATAGAACTGTACAAAATTATGCAGTGTGGAGAAAATGGATAGGAAGAGGGTTCATTCCCTTTCTCATAATGCAAGAACACAAGTTTGTCCTATAAAGATGAATACTGCAACATTCAGGACCGAGAAAAGAAAATACTTATTCACATAGCACGTAATTAAACAATGAGCGATCTGCCTAGCTGAAGTCCAACTCTCCAACTTAGGGGGAGGCTAGATGGTGTGCACCAATGCACCCCTTGACACATTTCATGATGTCCTACCCTTCTTAAATGATGCTGATACTAATGCCAATGATAATGATAATACAATTTGCTCTGAAGTAGGTTTATGTTTGTGAGTTATGGGATCCAACCTAGCCTCTGTCTTGAACCCAGTCTTTTCAGTAGGTTACTTTCTTTTACCATGTCTTCCATGGCAGCCATTTTGTGGTGGCATTAAAGAAAGCCTCTCAAATTGCCAAATGTGTCTTCAATCCCAAAAGACTGTCTAATTCTGCTCTAACTTTTACATCAGCCTGGTTCTAGATGATAAATTAAGTGCTCAGTCCTGTACATGTTTAGACAGGAAACAAATTCTACAATTCCTAGCATTATTCCAGTCAGCTCTGCGGATAGGCATGCTAGAAATTGTAGGGTGGTTTTTGTTTTGTCTAAACATGCAAAGGATTGCACCTTTTGTTAATATTCAGAAAGACCCGAAAGAAGGCTAAATATAAATACATCCTCAGAAAGGTTAGAGAAAGAGAGAGTAGTACATAACTGTATACCATGAAAAAGATGACTCAGTCATACCCTACAGTGAGACAATAAATAATCCATACTATAAGCCATCAAAACCAAATTTACATTCTTCTGTTAACACTAAGTATGTCACTTCAAATGAAATGATACAGAGGCAACTTTCAGTTTACAATTCATGGTGATGCACAAATCAGTAATTAGAACTTTCATTGGTTAAATCATGCAGTCATTGACACATAACCATGCCTGGGGAAAAACCTCTTTTCTAGAAATCAGCATGTGTGCATCCTTGAAATGTAGCTGACACTGACCGGGTACCAGTCCAAAGAAAACTAGTACTTGACAGATAACACCAGCACAAAGTGCAATTCACACCAGCCCACCCCATCCCCCTCTTCTGTATAACAGCACCCATCCTCCCCCTCCTTCAGAGCATCTTCTTTGGTATGCAAGTGGAAAAGATCACACCCTGTTACTTTTAACTTCTACAACCTATTGGAAAGTGTTAACTGTATTACATGTAACCCTCTAATGATCAATGTATAAAGGGGCTAACTGAGGACTGCTCAGGTGCGCCATCTGAAATGATTTGTTGGTTGCCAGTTATCCTTGAGAATAAATGCTTTAAAAGAAAACCTTCCTCCGTTGTATATTTTGGGCATATGCACACCAGGACACAGACTCTTTGGTCAACAGTAGTTTAGCATGCTTCATATACCTGAACCTCAGTAAGATGGTAAAATAGCTTAGTATGTGTCAAAATTGCAAATACAGCATAAATATTAGTCCAGCATAAATAGTCCTGCATAAATATTAGAAATTTTCATTTGGATAAGGTCAAGCCCAAACCAATAGGCAATACAGATAATGGCCTGAGATGACAGAATTTTAAGGGTTCTGGACTAACTGGAGAATTCCTTTCTCTTTTAGGGGTGGGGACATAATTGCTCATTTTTTTATTATTATACATATATATTACCTTATCCCCTTCTTTTAAAGAACCTTGCATGGCTTAGAAAATCCTCTACTTCTTTGTTTTATTCTCATAACAAACCAGTAGGGCAACTTACCCTGAGAGTCAGTAACTAATTCAAGAGAACTTATCAATATCATATTCTTAAGAATCATGGTTGTATTTCAGTGGGCAATTATGAATAGCTTTATATTCTAAGAATGAAATAGCTTTATATTCTAAGAAGCACCTTTTCCTTTAGAAGAAAGAAAAAGATGCTACAATCAGAGAAAACCTTGAGAGGAAAACATTTTCACCTCTCTATGTTCACAAGACGTATCAGTAAAGGAGGAATATTTTCTATCAATGGAAACACAATTGTACAAGTTCAGTTGCCATATTTACTTTGTTTTACTCTGTTTCCAATACAAGTGAGAGTATAGAATGAGAGGTTATTATTCTTCTGCCAGGGAACATTTCCTTCAAAGCAGACAACAAGTGAAGTAATTAGCTTGAAATAAAACATGGAGTTAACTAGAGAAATAATTAGAAATCACAAAACTTGCTTCTCAGATATCCCACATAACAAATGACAGTTGTTTTCTAAATTTTGGTTAGTGCTGAAGCATGACCAATAGGTTATTGAGACTGTATTATTTTTATCAGTGGCTGGGAAGCAAAAATTCTGTACTGATGCTCAGTAGGGTCAGTGACAAAGTGCAGGAGCTTAAATTAGGAACAAGAAGATATGTAAGGAACTACTTGTTTCATGTTATATATTTGCAATCATATTCTTACCAACTGTTGTTTAAATTAACGCTGGCAAACTCCCCTGGCTTTATTCAGAACTCAGGTTGGAAAGAGAGCTATTATCTTTAAAAGGTAAGAAAATGAGCTATTTTATTAATACCGCATTTTCCCTTGTGATCAGTTCTGAATGTTGTCCCATTCCTGATGACATCATCAAAAATTGTACAGGGTTCAAACATCTCTCAGCCCCTTTGAGTCCCTAACACCTGTGCTATTCATCTGCTAACACTGACTTGGATGTAGGGCAGTGGTGGTGGCTTCTCTGCTCAGGGCCTTCCTCCTTGGTACTAGAACATAAGAATTTTCCTAGTATCAAAGAATTTGGGAAATGTTGTTCTCCAGGGTACCTGAGTCATTCTCAGATGCCCTGGGGAACAACTTTTCCCAGGACTGCTTGTACATCAGATGCTGCCAGCCAGCAGAAAATAAAGAAGGGAGATAATGGCTGCTCTTGATTTGGCCAGGTGTAATTGGAAGGGTATGGACAATTTTGTTTATAAGTGTGAGAATGGTCAGACTGGGTAGATCTAATTCTGAATTCCCCAATTCTGAGTTCATCCCAATTTCCTGTTTGAATTTGTTGTGATAAATGTGGCAGGTGAGTCTTTTTATGGCATATCCCTTGTTCACCCTATTGTTCATTTTTATCTATGTGATACCTCTGGGTTTTTTTTTACCGTAACAGTTAAGACTCAGACATTTTATTTCTATAAAAAGCTACTTCTACATGCTCAATTGAACTTGCACATAAACTTTCTAAATGCATGATAATAAAAGAGATTTTAAACATGTTGATAGAACAAGATTTTAAAACAGCATTTTCTGAATATATGGATAATCATCAACACAATAAACATTATAAACATTTTCTCCATAAATAGCTCACCATATGGCTAACATTCACAACAGATGCTGTCTGTGTATCCACTAGAATATACATGATTTATTCACTTTTGCACTGCAATAATTCTAAACAAGAAAAAATAATTATACTTTATAGTAGTGTCACTAAAGTTTTACTGGAGGCCTGGCTGGAATCTGTGATGATTATTGGAGTATTGATTTAGAAAAAAACATGTTAGAACTTTGTCTCAAAGCACACATCATGAATATATTGTGCAAAGAAGCACTCTTAACTGCACCAAACCACACTATAGCTATCCTCTGTTACAGGTGAAATTACATATTAAAATAGGAAAAAATAATTTTGTGTTTTGATATAGCATGATCTGAAAATCTGATTATACTTTTCATTCAACCTGCCAATACTGTTTTATATTTTGATTTTAAAAAAAAATTGTAATGTTTGCAAACCTAATGCTATCTGATCCTGTCACATATTAGCAGAATGCTGCTGTAACTGTGCTAAAGTTGACTCAGAATATAACTGTCACTCCTTTTTCTTATAGTTATGCACAGATGTATATATTTCTAACTTCTGTTGATGCCCCCTTCCAAATGTGTCCTCATTACACACCTTACATCATTTGAAAGGTCCACTTATCCTTAGGAGCATATTTTGAGAAAAGCAAAGTTGGCTGTAGCTGAATGGAGGCAGTAACTTCACATTTAAAGTTTTCACCAGTTAGTCTTAAATATGATTGTTAAATTCCTTTTCATTTTTCTCATAACAGACCTCAGTGTAGAACACAATGCTTACAGAACTACAGAGAGAATCCTGCCTGCTCTACCCCTACCCCAGATGTTATTACCTGTGTGCCAATAGCGCCCTCAAGGTCATCTTATTTAGTCCCAGATAACTTGGCAACAAATTTGACCAATCCCATTTCCACTCAGCAACGGTGAACTGTTGGTGTATAAGAAAAAGGTATTGTTAGTTATTAATCAAAGTTAATATGATCAGTAAATTAAAGCTCCAGCTGTGATAAACTAAGTAAGGAGGAGATAGGGAGCTGGAACAAGGACTTAGACAGATAACATCCATCATGTCCACAGAAAAGGGGTTTTATTCTAATAAGATGGCAATTAATTTATAAATCCATTTGGGGATGTAGCCGTTATTTATATAAAGATAAATCAATTTTTGAATCGTTATTCTTCCAACTGTTAATGGCATTTTGCCAAACCACTTTCTCTGAAAGCCTGACTCAATTTCAAAAACAAAATAATTGTCAACTTTTTAATATATAGTAGCAATTTACATTTTTTTCACTATCAGCACAAAGTTTATCAGTAGAAAACCTTTGTGTAACTGAAATTTGGGTGTATGCTATGTATCTTAATCAGTGTAATACTTTTCTTGTCTACTGTTATCTAAGTCCAGTCAGCAGATGATTATTATAAATTTCTGTAAATATAAACAGTGCTAACTCATATAATGTTCACTAGGTTATGTTATTCAATTTATTTTTTAGAAATTGTCAAATTATTGTATACATAAAAGTATAACATACGAAAGAATTCTTGCAACTGCGTAACATTAATATTATTTGCAGGTAATAGCAAAATATATGCATGCATGGCAGACTAAGTTGAGATATGCCTAAAGACACACTACATTCCTCATAAAAGGTTCCTTTGGTAAAAGCTACTCCTAAGAATCTGAGACAGGGGATAAGAATATCCCCAGGTGGGGCACTTAACTATTCTCCATGCAAATAAAAGATAATCCAATTATAAATGAGAAAGTAAATACAGGGACTCATGAATCAACTGCACTCTGCTCCTTTGAAGCAACTGACAATCAATCCCCCATTCCTGGATAGTGCCATTCTTTAATTTGCATAGCTACACCTTTGCCGTGACATAATACTAGAGAATTTGCTTTGCATGCAGGTCCTAGTCTCAATCCCTGGCATTTCCAATAAGGGTTAGAAAAGAATCCAGCCTGAAATTCTGGACAGCTGCTAATAAGAGTTGATAATAATAGGCTAGATGAACCAGAGGTTTGGCTCACTATAAGGCCTTCCTATGTCCCTATTTCTAGGTCTCACTAATGAGCAAGTCAACCAGGAGGAAGCACATTCTTTAAGTATGAATGTGTGTGGATCAAGTGTGTGAGAGGGACAGAGAAATAAAATATGGCAATGACATTGCCAACATTTAACTTTGGCCTTTCCTACCACTGACACATAACCTCTAGAAGGTTACCTACAAAGGGATACAGTCATCAGGCTGAATATGTTTCTCCATCCCTTGCCCAAATACAAGCAAACAAGCATCCAATAATACACTGCGCTGAGGCCCTGCAAACATATCTCCCTTGCTGTATTTCCCTGCTAACTCTTAGCCATGGAAGGAACCCAAGAAAGAGTCACGTGAGTGGATTTTTAACAATTTCCCTTCCCCCGCTATACCTTCTTTACAAATCTTAATAGCCTGCATATTTTTATACTTTTGTTGGATTTTGGAATATCAAAATAGTAACTACCAGACATTAAAATAAAGAGCCTTAGTCAAAAATATCATCAAGAAGCAAGTAAAGTTTTTATCCAGGATTGTCCCTCTGCAAATGGGCAGAATACATGGAAAGGGCTACAGTCCTATGGAGGTTCCAGTTGGTGGAGGGAAATGAGGCAAAATTCATCAATCCATGCAACTGAAACATGACTTTCCATGTTGTTCTAAGGGGTTCTATAACCCTCCAGAGGAGATTTTTTTGCAGGATAAAGGCAGGAAGAGGAAAGCATCAAAAATCACCTCTGTCTACCTTCAATCCATGGAAGCACCCTACCAGCAGAGTTCTGCTTGCAGTCTAAAATATATTAAGAGCCTGGATGTACAGCAAGAACTTATTTCATCGAAGAGGATAAAAAGTAGGGGAAGCGGGACAGGGAGACAAATAGGAGACACAACAGAGAAGGCCCAATTGCCAGTTGCCACACTGCTTAGCATTTTGGTTTGGGCGCTATGAACAGGGATTCTGATGAGGACCCTAGAATTCATCTGTTTAAAAACAAAAACAATTTTAAGGTTCATAATGCAATGGAATATTTTTACACTACCATGGGTTGTCAGAGTCATACAATAAAACCAAAAGTATCAAGATATTTTCTTATTTGTCCACAGTCTGATATGATAGTACAGTAAAAATTCCTGCATTTCACAATAGCTTACATGACACTTATAGATTAATAGAGCATTACAGTCCTGTCACACAGCAGAAGAATTCTGCCCTGAGTTGTCAGCATTTGAAGGACTTATGCTGCCACAGTATTAATGATTGGAGGAGAGAGCTGTAATAGACATGATAAAACTATTATCTGCATTCTAAATTAAGACCTAGTTCAGAGTAGGTACTGCTGTGTTTACTATGGGTCCCTGAGAGTTCTTAAAAGAAAAAAGGAGAAAACAACTGAGAAGTTGGCTGAATTGGACAGAAGGAAAGGGTTCATTTGCAGGGTATAAGGCCCACTGGTGCTGGCACCCTATTTGCTCCATCTGTTCTGCCACTTCTAAACTTTAAAATAATAATTTAAAAAGCTGCCTGGAAAATTTGCACTTTTTAAACTAGGAAATAAAGGAAATAAATGGAGGTGAAATACATGCAGTATTCTTGTATGGGAGTAAAGGAAGGGAAAATATGTCTTATATTTCCCATCTATTTACTTCCCAGCCATGAAATTTGTGCGTATTTCCCAGTGCAAATTTTCCAGACATTTAAAAATAACAAACTTGGAGGTGAAAGAATGGTAACTGAAGCAGTAACTCCTCTGAAAAGGAGCTGCAAAAGTGTGAGGGAATTAATATCTCCTCCTTCTCAAACAGCTGAAACCCAGGGAAGTATAGAAAATGTAGAGGACACTGTCAGTTCAACAAGTGAAACCTCAAGCAATACATTACTGAAGAGGATAACTTGCTGCCATCCCTTTCTTGGTGCACCTACTTCTACCATCCTTTTCCTCTTTACAGCTGATTTTCAACTGCCAGCAAAAAAACAGTTCACAAGTTAGTCTACCTCCAGTTTTGCTTTGTCAAACTCCATCTATGTAAAACTGCACTTAGTTCTCTTGGACAGCCAAAACTACAAGAATATCGACCTGGCAAGAGAACATATGCTGGACAACTGTAAGCGTACACTTGCACACTTCTGAACGACCAACTATTTAACTGCATGATTTTCTGCTGCCAAAAATAAATTATGCAATTTTTGAAGCTCCAGGAAAAGAGCAGCAAACAAAAGTTTGCTGTTAGTGGAGAGGGAAGAAAAAGACAAGACAGGTTCTGCAGTCAGATTTGATTATATGATGTCATGAAGTTAATCAACAAAAAGAAAAGGTTTGCCTTTTAGAGACATCCTCAAACCTTTCTGGCAAGTGGTAGTGAAACGGGGTGAATGTGCCACTTCCCTCTTTGTTGCAGAAAGATTCTCAGGTGGGCATTGGGTTGGGCATTGCTTCCTCCCCCTTCATTGTGGCCACTTGCCAGAAAGACATTTGAGTGGGACCCTGGTTGGGGAATCCTCTATAGCAAGCAGCAGTGAGAAAGCAGGATGAGCAAAGAATCAACTGAGAGGCAATGCCAACTCCACTTCACCATCCAGCTGATTCTCACTGCTTCCTCTGTTGTGTGTGGAACTGACAGAGGGGGAATCAAGTGAGTGGTGTCATTACATCCCATGAAGCTTACTGGTGGAAGGATTAGGACAGATAAAAGAAAGTACTTTTTGACACAGCATATAGTTAAACTATGGAATTCACTGGCTGCCAAACTCTTTTAAAGGACTGGAGAGATTCATGAGGGAGGAGGCTATTAGTGGTTACTAGCCTTGCTGACTATGTACTACCTTCTTTACCAGAGGCAACATGCCTGCATACACCAGTTGCTGAGGAGCTGGACAGGAGGAGGTCTTCCGTCTCCTGAATGTGGGCGGCTGGATTGTTACTGAGTGTACAGAGTGCAGGACTAGACGGACCTTTGGTCTGATCCAGCATGGCTTTTCTCATGTTCTTATGTACTCCCTGCAGCATTGCCCAGATGATTTCCCTCCTTGCATTCATCAGGCTTGATCAATCAGTCCCCACTGGAGCAAGAGGGGAAGATGCTTGATCAACTCACTCATACCCTGGTTTGTGTATCATAAATATAAATATACTTCTTGTGAGTCTCCTCTCTTCCACCCCAAAGCACACAATCTTCATTTTGGTGAACACAGGATAAATTATTTATACAGGATTCAGGAAAGAGTACAGAATGGGGGAAAGGGTTGTTCAGATTCTGAGCAAAGAACCGTAAGGAGTTTAAAGAAACAAAAGTGGTAAAGAACAAGTGAAAAGTTAAAATACCATCTCCCTAGTACAGCACTACACTAAGCTGTCTATCCAGTTCCCTGCAAGCCCTATGTCCATGGCAAAATTCTTCTGGTGCCTGTACCAAGCTTGTCCCCATTTGGTTGGGGAAAAGTACACCTAGGTCCCTGCACTGAAGAAACCTCAAGTAATTTCTCTACGTGCCCGTCTAAAGCCTGGGAGACCTGCTCCTGCATCTGTACTGAAGGGAGAGATCACATGCACACTTCCTTTCTCAGTGGAGTATATCTCTTCTGTCCATTTGCCTCAGTGGGGATTTTTGAGAATCTCTCATTTTTTCATCTGCTGACTGTTCAAAGTAGCAGCTCTGAGGTGACTGCTGGAGGATTCTTCTTGTTCAATATCTGGACAATTTATGATTCAATAGATTGACTTAGTAGCAGCATTTGGTCTACAGATAACTTCAGTCAAGTCATCTGCATCGCAATGCCAGTGTCAGGTGACTTGGACATTCACTTAAGCAGAAACCTGTAGCTGCTTGAAAAAGATAGATTTTTGTCTTTTGGACTTGGATAAGATGCAGTTAATAACGTCTCACTGAGTGGCCATTCCAGGCCAACTATAACATCAATACACATTTACTATAAAAATAACAATAAACTGTACGAAAAAGCTGTAAAGCTTACTTGTTTCTAAATCTATTTATAGTGTGGATCATTAACTTGGCACTTGGGGGTTAGAAGCAGAAGCGGCAACAACCTGCACTGAAAGAATCTTTTTGCAGTTCAAAGGAGGCAGGAATAAAGGGTGCTGCAGCCTGCAGCGGAAGTAATAGTCAGTTGGAAATAAGCAAATGTAAAAGGAAAGGAATGCAAATAGGCATATAGGTTACTAGATTTTGTCAGGTGGTGTGTGTGCATGTGTGTGTGTCATCATAACATTAGAGCTGTCAGGAATATCCCACATGGTTCCTGAATTTTCATTTATTTTAGTAGCAATTACTTCAGCGTCATGAAATAATTCACTGAAAAATGCTTCAACATGATCACTAACCTTTTCTAACACATTAGTGCAGTACAGGTAGTGCATGTGCAAAGGGTCAAAACCAGACCGTCCTCCTTTGGTTCTTAAAGTCATATTTAATGGTTTAATGTTTTCTTCAGAAGATCCATCATAAGAGAGCTGTTCAGTCAAATATTCCTTTAAAAGAAGAGGCTGAGATTAATATAAATTACACTGAACAAGAACAAGGATGTCAATTTCTCATAAATATATGCAGAGTTTGAAAGTAAGGCTCATCATCATGTGTGTTTTTACACAGTGTTCAACATACAGTTTTAAACTAATTATGTTTTATGCACATTATATATTTAAAATGGATATCTTTCAAAATTCAGACAAAATATGTTAATTCAACTTACATGCTTTGAGAAAGCACTATCTTTTAGGGTAGTAACATGGAACATGAGATTTTTTTTTCTATAATGCCCATTGAACTAATATACGTATATTTGTATATGTCTGAAAATATATATTTCTCTTGCTTTATTCTTCAGTGAAAGAACAAGTTACCTGTAACTGTAGCTCTGTGAACTAAGACATATGGGTTATATGCCTGTGTGGAACAGTAATTCAAACCATTATACCACTAAACAGAATTTTAGACAAGAGCCCTGCCCACTTGTTCTGCATGTGCTAAGTACATGGCACCCAATTGCCTCTCAATTCTGAGTCAGCAGAACAGAGAGATTCTCTTAAAAGGTGAGGCATCAAAGTAGGGAGGACAATGGGCTGTGTAAGTTCACAGATGACCACTCAAAGAACTATAGGTAAGCAGTTTAGTTACAGGTAAGCAATTTGTCCTCCTTCATTGTCTCTGCAATTCACACAAATAGATTATTAAAAAGCAGTAAGGCTCATTAGAGGCAGATATTATACCAGAACTGAGCACAGACTGCTTGGCCAAAAGCTGCATAATTTCTAACTCTAATGTTAGATGTTAAGCCCAAATAGCTGCACTGCAGAACCGGGGGAGCGAGATGCCTCCAAAAACGGCAGAAGAGACTCTAGTGACTCAGTATTTGAAAAGGAACCAGAAGACATGTGAGTTGCTAGGCTAGATAGAAAGGTTGCCCTTTCTTTGGTGACAAGTGGAGATGTGGTGAGATTTCCTAAAGGAAAACCCTAAAGGAATTCTATATTCTAGAGATGTAGAATGCAAGTGACTTTTGAACACCACACAAGTGAAGTTTCATATCTACAGGGGAGATGGGCTGATGAAGAAAGACTGGCAGTAGTATGTTCTGAATTAGATAGAACTGAGAGACAACCTTAAGAAGGAAGGGGCAGTCTGGGTAAAATACTATTCTGCCCTTACGAAAAATAAAGACTTGATTGGTTGTGGTTTAAGGTGTACAAATTGCATGTGCTGTAGGAAGAAGTAATGCTAACTAGGAAAACCACCTTCATCATAAAGAGTCAGAAATTGACTGTAACAAGAGGTTCAAATGGTTTTGCCATTCATTGAGTCAGTACAAGCTCCAGGGGGAACCAGAGGAAGTATCAACAGGCAACTTCTGATTAATGTATGAATCTGAGGAGGCTGAAGAAGCCACAGTGTTCTCCTGATTAAGTGAGACTGCTGCTAAGTAAACTGTAATGGAGCAAAAAACTAGGCCTCTGGTTTTTAATAAAAGGAGGAAATCCACCTGTTTGGAAGGCCACATGATTTCGTTGGGTTAAGTTTTGAAATATTTGTGTAAGGTCTTCAGGACTTCTCAAACTAGGTGGAAGAATCTGTATGGTTGGCTATCCTCCAGGCATCTTCTTAAAATAAGGCTCACAAAACATGAAATGTGGCAATAAAAGTTCCAAAACAGTTTCTGGGACTTCTGGGAATCCACATTCAGTAGATTAGTGAAGCTTCAGATATTTGCAATTAATAAAAATTCAGTTGTTTGAAGTTTAGCTTGCAGCCTTCACTTTTCTCTCAGCAACTTTCATTTTATACTCAAAACTATTTTTATTAACACATGATCCAAGTTTGATATTCTAACCTTTGTTGACCAGTAAATTCCTAAAGACGTGAGATGAAACAAACATAATCTAAAGCTGACAAAACATATTTTCAAAAGAACTCCTATTCACTTGTATTGCTTAACTGTAAAATGTTTTACATGCATTAGACAGTCTCAGTCCATAATCACAAGTACTGATGTTTGTTGCACACATAGTTTTCTCAAAAAATAAACTTAAACAAAGGACAGTTTAGAAAGAGAAACTGCTTTATCTTCTGCTTGTTTTGCAGATACTATTTCTATTTGCTAACACAGATGATATTACATTGGTAAATAATCTACCCCAGTTACAGATTTAAAATAAGTTACAGTTTAAAATAAGGCTTTAACACAGCAATGTATTCTTCATGTAAAAATGCACCTTTATCTTTTCTTTTTGTACATTAAAAAAAGCTATTACTTTTAACTTGTTTCCCCTAAAATAAAGTTAAAAGAGAATGGTTTTTAACACTATTAATTTCTTATTTTTTAACTCTGAACATACTCCTGTCATCTATGAAATATAATTAAGAAACAAGTCAATAGAGCATGCCACAGTTTAAGTACACAATTAAAAGGGATATAATTTCCTCTAAAGTAACCTTTTCTAAATAAATGCAGAAAAGCTTAAACTGAACAGTCTAACAAAGTGCAATATTGAGTTAGGTATTGACTTTACGAAGCATTATCACCTCCTTGACTAACCCTTAGCTGCCAGCAGACGCTGCCTCAGGCCACTACACACCTAATTGCTCGGTAAAAAAGGCCGTTTCCCTACCTCATTGAGCTGGATGATGTGATAAATTTGCCTCAGGTATTCACTGCCACCTGGTTTGTGGCAGATATCCAGGACCATCATGTTTATTTTCTGCTCAGTCAATTCAAGCTCAATAGCTTCCTCTTCTAAGCTTCTACCATCTTCTGTAGCAGTAACACTACTGCAGAGAAAGGAAATGTAGTATCACAAATAAGAAGCGAATACTACAATACAGAACAGAAATGAAGTCATATTCCCAGACCTGAGTTGCTGTAGATTAAACATGCTTCTGTAATATAATTGCAAAATGTAGCTCAATAAGAAAACATTCAGCATCTTTCAAGTATTCTTAATAATTTTCCTCCTGTATTGTACACACACACTACAGCCATTATGAAAAATATAATGAAATATGACTAATTATGTAATGTATATTCTTTTTTAATGATATAAAAATGTTTTGCTTCTCCAATAGGAAAAATGTATTTCTGGTTTTTAAGAACATCTTCCCTAAGCCATATTTTATTGTTTGTCACAAAATATTATAAATCTTGATTAAAATGCTAGAAAAACTTTATTTATTTAGTGCAGGTTAGAAAGCCTGGAGGTTTCCAGTGGCTTGCATATGTTTCTAGTTGTCTTGTGGTGGAGTCAGAATCTGAATCCAGTACTTTTTTTGCTTTCCAGCTTGCAAGTTTAAATAGTTCCCATTCTAATATAATAATTGAATGCATCATGATATGATGTATTACTATTGTATTCAACCCTTATGATGAGATTGCAAGCCACCTTGATTGGCATGTTAGAAACTCCAAAATCTCCCAGACTATTACAACCGTTATGGTAATTACGGAAGCTCCTACAGGGTAATTTGCTGACTGAAAAGCTAGTTACTATTTAACTGTTACAGAGAAATTGTGGAGTGTAATCCTTTATTTGTCTATTCAGAAATAAATTCCATTGAACTCATTTAAACTCAAGTAAATGATTACAGGATAAAAGCTAATGATGTAAATTTTACCCATAAGCCACAATCAATAGTTTCAAATGTACCTATATTACAACATTTGTTCTGGTGATTAGTATGACTGCTGAAATGCTACAGAACTCCTGCACGTTAGAATTACATAGCCTCAAAATACAACTTCAGACCATCCTAAACAGTAACTAATTTGAAAATACTGCGATTTATTTCCTTGCTGAATAAAGCAAATGTTTTTATATAGTCATCTAAAAGATACCAGACATGTATTTATTTACAATCTTAGCATATTTTAAAGCTAGCTTCCTGAAGCTGTATAGTGGTACACCTAAATTTTATGTCAAGCTGCTTAGAGGATGACATTGAAAAAGTTGAGGCCCTCTGACAAAGGAGTGTATCAGTGTCAGCACCCAAACTGTATCCTTTCCTGTCCATCACTGTGCAGGTGAAGCAGATGATTGGATTCAGTCAGTGCTGTGATTAATGAGTTCCTCTCTGGATTTGGGACTGCCTATCAATCATGTCATTAGGGAGAATGTGCCCTGAAAGAGGCAGACCTCAGCCAAGGAATAACTGCATTCATCTTAATCTTTATATGCACCCAGCCAGGCAACTCAGGGTCACCATGATGAAAAATAATAATCTTCAGCTCAACAAATTACTTTGCAAAGACAGACATTTCTTTACTTTTAGGGCTGTATGTTCTCCAGATTCTTAGTTGACTGTTTATAGCTTAGATGTTAAAAAAAAAAGCAAAGGTTATTTTAATGAATACCAACGCTTTTAGGCCATATACAAGCCAGGCAATGAAAACAACTGCCATTTTTTCATTGTCTTTTCTTTCTACTTGTTTTTGTAAATGCAAAATTAGATCTGTATCAATGGCAATATTTAATTCAGCTAAGATAATGAACTTACTATGAATAAAACCATATTCAACAGAAATACCACTTGCTTACTCTGTTAATTTACTCAGTCTTCATTAAGAAAAGTACTTACTATACAGTGTAATAAATGCCTCAGCTAGTTAATTATTTCATATGCATGACTACTATTAACAATTCATTTCAATCTGGTGTCAGTTCTATAGCTAGTAAATTACTACTGATTCAAGTCTATGCAGGAAGTTTAGGAAAATCAGGTCTGTCTTCCCTTAGAAATATTACGGACATAAAAACTTCATTTACAGATACTTTTCATAGACAATGCCCTGAAAATACAGTTTTACTTGCCAACCATTTAGATGACACAATTGTTATTAATGAGTTATATTTACATTACAGGCCAGCATCCAGCTTTTATCTAGTAAATACCTATGCATTTCCCTTCTATCAGTGGACTATGGGAAAACCTTCTCCTCACATCTGCTTCTCTCTTCGAGAGTTTTCTCTGCTCCCTACATCTCCAGCCTTGGTTAATGGTAGCAACTCTTGTATAGTGGAGGCAATGTTTGTCCATCTTTATCACTGTCTTCCAAGAACATAGCCCATACATTTCATACAGCACCTGATTCTATAGACATCTTGTTCTGGTAATTTACTGCTGGATAAGCTGAGCTTATGCACACAAAAGCATCTGTATGAAGCTCACAAGTTTTCTTTTTTGCATCCTTCTCTCTGGTGAGACTGTTCATTATTTCCATTGCTAACAAATTTATATGCTCCTGTCCAACAATACAATTGCACTAGTATTCATTTTCATCTGAGTTACTCTTAAATCTTTCTGAAATAATTAGGCTTAAGTTGGTTGCATCTAACAAGTTGCATTGATTTCCATGAGAGTTCAGCACAATTAAAATGTATTTTGTGTTCTATTTAACCTAATAATCAGAGCCTTGTAGGAACTCAATACTTACTACAGCAAACATCTTTACTATAAAACTTTTCATAATGAAATAAGTTGTGCATGCAAAGGACAACAGCAAGTGCATGAGGCATGGGAAGAGTATCAAATTTTCTTACCTGTCTATGCTCAATTTTCTTGCTTTTAATAGTTGGCTTTCAATCCAGTTTGGTCTTTGTTGTTCAATGCTCTGTATAATCTTGTGTGTCACTTGTTTAGGGCTTTTTTTCCTCTCTATAATACTTTCCAAACATACACGAACTAAACTCAGCTTCTCTTTGCTCCATCTGTCAAGTGTTGTGCCTGTTAAAAGTTCAGTAGTGTTTCCATCCTCAAATATACGACATATAATTACAATCAAGATCCAGACAAGAAGACCAGCTTTTTTTGATTCAATAAAGTTTTTGTGCATTTTTTTCTCAGAGAGAAAAAAGAAATATTTAATTGGGGCTGGCAAACATGCAATCACCGCAGGTAACTTGCTAATTACAATGGATATTGCATGGGCAGCCAGTCTTGTAAAGCCTAAAAAAAGAGGAAAGAACGAAAATATGAGTAATATCAACAATTCCTGCTTTATGATACAGTTAGGAACATGGAATTTCACCAAGCTATTCAGGCTGGCAACATCCTTGTGTGGTAGAGGAGTGAACCTAACCCCATTGCCTCAACCATATTGACAGCATGTAGTGTGAAGTGGGTGCCACACATAAATCTTTTTCAAACTTCTCACTGCTTTTTTAGTAAGAATCCCATGGACTTCTCCTTCACATGATCAGGTAGTCACAGAGAGCATGTAGTTCATGCTAGATACAGTCTGTGTGAAGGGGAAAATGGCAAGTTTGCTGCTCCCTGCCATTGTATGAGCCAGGGCTTGTTTTCCTTGTTCTAGGTGGCAAACTGAACTTGGGCTGTCCTTGAACTAGCGAAATAAGGATTCATAGCTTATTCATTTATTTAATTTATTGTGAGGATAAAATAGGATGCCTTTCTGATATCTTGGTAAGAAATATTTTTGCTTGGTTTTTTGCGCTCAGACCATACAACATAAATAAATAGTTGTTGACAACTATACATTAATCATGAAGAGTCTCAAAGTGAATCAGAACATGCTTTTCAAACATGCATTTCAAAACAAGCATGTGAACACTTGGTACCTATGCACACTGAGGAGCATGCTCACACTCAGTAAGTATTCCATTTCATCTAAGCATTTAAAGGTAAAGTGTTAATGTATATGTTGCAAACTGTGCATATCACAAAACCATAATCATATACACTGCCTCTTTATAGAAGTCTGCCACTTAAATACCCTGCAAAGTAAATTAAGACACAATTGCCCCCATATTAAGAACAATGTCATCAAAGTTAGAGGAATTTAAAGGCGGCTGTTTGACATTTAAGATCAGAAAACACAGTTAATAAAATTAAGCATTTTAAAACTTTCTTTAGGAATTAGAGAAAAAGGTTCCAAGACAAGAAAATAACATGACTTATTATAGACAGTAAATTACAAATGCTTATATTACATAATTATGACAGAGTGTATTCTAATGTTAAAACCCCACCAAAAAGTATTAATGAAACTTGTGATGATCATAACATATTTGCTAGCAACAAAATTTATCCCTAATAAATATATTATTATACCCCACTTTTCTTCCACTTATAAGGAACCTAAGGCAATTTAAAAGCTCTCATCTCATTTTACTCTCACGACAACCATGTAACTTAGGTGACTGGCCCAAAGTCACCCAGTGAGCTTCAAGACTGAGTGGGGACTAAATAATTAACACAATACATTTCCTCATATATTACTTGTTTGTCTATTATAGGTTCTATTAACTATGAATCCTCCAAACTATAATCCCCTTCAAAAAATTGCTAGTTCTGAGCTGTTTTTTGCACAAATAATGACTTGTGCTGTCACCCAGTACTGTGTGCTGATACATAAAGAGTGGTTTTGTATTTAACTCACACAAAAATCAACATTATTTCACCTCCAAACATTAACTTTTTGCTGGCTTGAAAAAATCCTCTTTTGTGCCATCACCAAAAGCATAGCAATTACTTTCTTATAGCTAGGGCATGATTTTTTTAAAAAATCAACATTGTAATATTATTTCTGAGTCTGTATCAAAGTTTTGTGGTAGTTGTATGTACTTTTGTTCCACAAATTCCTGAGTTTTGTGCCACTATCAGAACTGTGAAAACAATATACTTTTGGTGTGGGGCTTGGCAAATGCAAAAAAATCCACATTCTCATAGATTATTTTTACTTTTTTATTATTTAACTTACAGTCTGCATTATTAGCCCAAGGGCTTGCTAAGTGGATTACGATAAAAATAGAGTAAAAAGCAGAATATAACAATCAAAACAGAGCAGTCAAATAAAATACATAACAAAATTAAAAAAGCATACAGCTGAGGGATAGTAATTTAAAGCAGTATAGATTAAAACAGCAGAACTATATAAAAACCAGACACCTTTAAGATTATCCAAGATAAAATCAGTTGTTAAAATGTCTGGAAAATGAAGTTGTTTTTGCCTGGCACCAAAAAGATTGTAATGAAAGCTCCAGGTGAAGTTCTGTAGGTGGAGCACAACTACTGAGAAAGCCCCTTTGATATCAATGTTGAACCTATATGACACTTTTGTGTGACTTTTTTCTCAACTGTGTACTGATGTATCAAAGGTGAGATTTACAATAAACAAAAATCCCTCATTTGAATATCTCCTCCAAACTTGTGGAAATTTTGTGCTTTCTGTCTCAGAAATCTCAGGTTTTATGATTCTACTCTTTACATAAATTTTGCTGAATTTATGAATAAGGACTTGCACTTTTCAAAAGAACTGTTGTAGCTCTTCAGATAGTTTAATAAATCAGCATAAACTTTCATGGGTTATAACTAACTTTACTGCATAGAATTTGTGACATGAAATGAACACAAAATTTTGACATACCGTATTTTTCGCTCTATAAGACGCACTTTTCCCCCCCTCAAAAGTAAGGGGAAATGTCTGTGCGTCTTAAAGAGCAAATATGTGTGTGCAGTAAGTCTGTCAGATGTGCAGCATGGTGTGCCCGACGCCTGGGACATGTAATACCACTGCCGGGACGCTGCCGGCCCTCCTGCACCACCTGGCCGGCACGTGCTCGGCGCGCCCTGCTCCGCCCCCCCGGCCCAGATGAGAGCTGTGCCGCTCAGGGGGAGGGGTGCGGGAGAGGAGGAGCCGCTGGCTTTAACCCGCCGGCCACGGCCGAGCCGGCCCCACGGAGAGACGGACTGGGACAGGCTGCCCACCCCCACCGCCCAGGAATACCTGCCGCCACTGCCGCCACCTGGAAGACCACCCCCAGGACACTGCCAGCCCACCTGCACCACCTGGCCGGCACGCGCTTGGCACACCCTGCTCCGCCCCCCCCCCCTCCGGCGCAGGTGAGCTTCCTGATAATCACAAGTCCATGTGTGTTTTCAAATGGCAACCCGTCTTTTAATGAAGCCCATGGAGAAATGATGGGGAATGTGCCTGTGATTATCAGAAAGCTTTCCATGGATCAGAACGGTGCCTGCTTTATTAAGTTAATAGAAGAACCAATATCTGTTAGTTGATCAGACACTTTTTTTTTAGGATCAGTGGATATTTGAACAGCATTACCTTCGTGTATGAAGTTTATTCTTCAAAGGCTACTTAGTGTGTGTTTGATTTACTGTACAATATCTCATTTTTTGTCAGAAGTTTTTTTGTATTATTTACTAGTAGGGCAGCATGGACATTACTGGCTTTTTTAGATTTGTTATTGAATTGTCTGTGGCAGCTCTTGTATAACTGGTGTAGATTGTGGATTCCTTCAATAATTCCACTACTGACTAAGAAACTGATGTCAGTGATTGTGAGCAACAGAGCTTCATAAATTCTGACTCTAGCAATGATGAGTTCTATGGGTTCAACAAAAACTAGAAGAGTACTCGAACTTTAAAGTCTCTTTTGTTAATGACAGTGATTATGGTTCTTAATGCCACTGTTGACTGCTGTTCACTTTACAAGGTTGAAATACGGTATTACTGTATTCTGTTATAGTTTATTAAATAGTTTAGTAAACCATTTGATTCAGAATATTTTTTTCTTGTTTTCCTCCTCTAAAAACTAGGTGCGTCTTATGGTCAGGTGCATCTTATAGATCGAAAAATACAGTAATTTCAGAAGGATATGAGCATGTGCTTTTTTTTCCTTCATCAGGCTGTACATCAATTTCAAATTTACAGTGGTGGCACAACTCTGAATTTTTGGCACAAAACACCACTAAATTTTGTCATATGTTTGGAGAGGATACTAGTTTGGTGGGTTCACAGTTAATGAAGCCTATATCATAGGAATAAAAACAGGTTCTTTTCCTTCCTTGATCATGTTGAATCACCAGTGTAGTACATCCTCATGACCTTCAAGGGGTGCTCAGAGAAGGGCTCATGTGGAGACAAAGAGGGCCAAGCATACAGGGATCCTCTTCTTCTGTTATCACTGCAAGTGCAATGTGAGCCTCACTTGCTTGACTGGCAAAAACATTAGTTTGGGAACTTATGCAAACTAGCTGTATGGTGGTGAGAGCTACTATAACAGGCATGTAAGTACATATCTTGGTTGCAGCAGTTGTATTATAAGAAAGAGTCTCTTCTCTCTCCATCTACTGTATAGATAGCATACTGCCAAGACACTTAATGACAGAATTCTTGAAATATTCTAGTTAATTTTGCATCTTACAGTAAATGTACAAAATTTGATGAACATTGGCCTATTACCACTGATTTACCTTCTACACTAACAACATTTCTTAGTATACCCTCTATTTTCTAGCACTGACCTGACCTGACCAACTGTTATTTCATAACTGTCATTCACTCCTTAGCTGGAAAAATTAAGTGTTGTACTCAAGGAAGCTTATTCCAGTGGGGACAAAACCAGATCTTACTAGATGGTTTTGATTCCACAGAGACTCCCAATGTGTGGGAACACAGTATACCTCAGTGTGTGTTGTACACTGAAATGCCTTCTGCCTCACATCTAGCCCTTCCAAAGAGACTTTGTTGTATGGGGGCCCTCCCCACATTATCATGTTTTTGCCAATACTCTACCAGGATCAAGAACTGCAATGAAATGTGTCAACAACCCCTTTAATACTATTTCAAAAGTATCAGAAATTGTGTTACTGTAATATTCATTATCAAATCATACCACTTAATTCTAATTCTTCCATTTTGATACATTCTTGTTAAATAGGTAACCATTATTTTGACAGGTTTATATAAGCACACCTACATTTCCCAGATTCTTTTCTCTTCATTTCTCTAGGTGTGTAATTCCATTCCTTTGGAACAGTCTTCAGCAAACTTTCAGGAACAATTTGCTTATGTTGATAGGTTCCATAGTTCTCTGTTGCTTCCCATGAATGCATCAAAGAAATTATCTGCTTCACGATACCCTTAACTGAATTAATCAAAGTCAATTTCAAGCATCTGATAATCTCAGGCTCTGATTCACCATAGCTAGAATCTTGGAGATAAAAAAGTATTATAATAAAATATTAAATAATTTGAACTGCTGAAGTCAGATTTAATATTATAATTCTTTTAAAGTTTTCTGTACTTTTTCAGTGTTCAATTTCTATAATGAAAAGACCCCAAAATAAAATAGATGTTTACATCACAATACAGTATTAAGAAATGTTATACTTTAATACACTGTTAATATGGTATTCTTTCATTTTTAAATTAGAAGTTGGTATGTTACTGATCTAAACAAGCTCCCAAGAGTGGTTTGATTTATGTGATAATATGATTAAAAATGAATGTCATTTGAAGTTGAGTGGTGGTGATCAAATTTTTAAAGAGATTTTTGTGATCATTTTCAAAATTTTTCTCTTATGGTAATTACTGAGAAACAGATGAGAAGAGTCAAGGAGAAGACAACTTCAGAAGCAAAATGCACATAAACTTAGCATTTTTCCCAGTCAACTACAGGTACAGTATTCCTTGACCAAGAGTGGGGGAAGGCTGCTCTTGGTCAAGATAGTCTTGGTCAAGACTGGCATGGTACCCAGAGGAGTAATGCTCCTGCTCTAATTCCACATATTTTTTTTTCTTGCAGGATGGTTTATCAGTGGTAAAACAAATTTTGAGAACTTTTAACATTATCACTGCAAAATATTTTGTTTTAAAACATTGCCACAATTTCTACAGTATTTTGGCTTGCTATTAAATACCGTAGCAACTTCACAAACATAAATCTCTAGAAACACTTACAATAACAAATGATTTAAGGAAAACGTCTGCATTCTAATATGCTATAGTCATAAATCAAGAAACATATTTATATAATATAGAATGCACATTTCAGAACATTTTTCAAACCTGATATATTATGTAAGCAAGCCCACATCTGTTCTTTTTCCATGTAGTATTGAAGAACACTACCAAGGGATTTGGGAGATAAAGTGCAGTAAGACAGTACTGTAAAGATTGCTTCAGTTAAACTACATTCTGTACTATTTTTCAGGTCTTGGCAAGTATGCTTTTCTTCACCTTTGGGCAATTCAGATTCTGAAAGACAGATAACAAGATTGGGGGGGGGGGTCTCAATTGTCACAGTAATAAGGGACAGTAAAACTGCTACCTGGAACAAAATGTTGGAGAGTAACGTCACCTTCTAACAGGACTGTAGCTATTCATGATTCCACCTAACCAGCTATATCCCTCTATAATTATAATCATGCTCCTCTATAATTCTCCTCCCTTCTGTTTTTCTTTTCCAATTAATATTCAACATTTTGTATCTACTGAGCATGCTCAATGAGCTAGAGAATTAAGAGGTGAGGTTGCTTCCTTAGATTTTTACCTGATGTATTTTTGTATTTCTTCATGCTGGTCCTTGCTCTTATCTCTTAATATTTTAACTTTGTCTCCATTTCTGTCAGCAACTATTTACCTGAATTCATATATAAAAAGACTGAGGTAGAGGTCATCCACAAGAAAACTATGCATGGTTCATGTATTTAATTGTGGACCAACCATATTAAAGAAAAAGTTACTTTAGCTGCATTAATGCCTAGCAACATACTGAGAAATACAATTTGCCAAATATCACTTAGACAGCTATTTTTGCATTACTGTGCAGCAATTTTTAAAAAGAAATTTTAGAAAACAATTACACAAGTAAAATCTACTTTTTGTTGCATGTATTCAAAATACACATAGACTTGGCCTTGTTATTCTGTGTTAAATCATAACATCAGTGCTGCAAAAATTTACCAGATGATACATTTTTGTGAGGTTTAAAAAAACAAACAAAAAAAATCAGTAGATATAGAAATGGCTGTCTACTTGTAGGGCGCTATCTACACCTTCTAATTAGGCTATGTTCCTAAGACCCACAAACTGTGCAATTGGAATTAGAATTTGTGTTTCTAATCACAAGCTCAGACATGCATGGAAACTGCCATTTCCAAACAGGAAGAGGTCAGCAGACTCCCTTCTACTGGCTTGCCCCATTCCAGAAACAAGTGTTTCTGCTTGTTTCACATGATTTGTAGAATGAGCATTATTACATAATCTGTGGGTCCTGCAAACACATGCAAACAGCAAGCTCCCTCCAATATTGGTTTATCCTTTAAATTATACAGTACTTAAATATAAACACATAGGCGTTAAGTGCCCACACATATCTTCCAAACACATTGGGAGATACAGCACCAAGTTTCCTTCGGAAATTAAGCTAATTAGATGAAAGTAGTTTGAGCTTTGTCCTCATCAGTTAGTCAGATTAAAGTATGCTTTTTTTTATCTCTCCCTCTTTCCTTGCCTTTGGTTGTTCTTTGTCACTTTGCTTCACATTTTTCTGATTAAAAAAATAGTTACAGAACGGATTAATGGAGAGCCAGTGTGGTGTAGGAGAGCCAGTGTGGTGTAGTGGTTAAGAGCGTGGGACTGGGACTCAGACGAGCTGGGTTCTAGTTCCCGCTCAGCCATGGAGCCAAATGGGTGACTTTGGGCCAGTCACAGGCTCTCAGCCCAACCTACCTCACAGGGTTGTTTTTGTGGGGATAAGATGGAGGAGGAGAATGATTTAAGCTGCCTTGAGCCCTTTGTAGGAAAAAGGCAGGATATAAATCGAAATTAATTAATTAATTAATTAACCTTATTTACATTGAACTTCATGGGGAAATTTAACTTGGCTTACAACCAATTTTGGGTCACAACCAGAGTCCTGGAACAGATTAAGTTTGTGAGCCAAGGTACCACTGTACCTACATGAGTGATCAGCACAAGGTGAAGCTGAGACAACGTGAAAGTGGTCTGGCGTTCAGGGAACCAAGCCAAAGAAGTCCAACGGATTCCCACCCCCGAACTTGATAACTCACACATCCCTGAGACATTAATTGAAAAAGGAGGATCAAGCAAGAACTATCAGACACTCTTTGATGCAATCTGATCCACCTTAAAGATGGGATTTTGACAACTGAAGTTTGGGAGGGAGGGGATATCCTAGCTGGAATCAACTTCTTTCCATAAGGCCACATTACCTAATTATTTGATTGCTTAGAATCTTAATGCTGTTTCTTTTGTTACTGATTTCTGCAATATTTATTAATTATATATTTAAAACATTTGTATGCCACCCAATTGTCTCACAGCGAATCTGGGTGGCTCAAAATTACAAGATAAAACACAATAAAAACAGACTACAACATATTAAAATTGGAATATCAATAAATATAGACAAAATACAAAACAAAGGTCAAATAGCATTAACTATTAAAAATTGTTTTTAAAAAAGGAAGGTCTTCCTTTCTGCTTATTTTGTACTTTAAAGCCAACCATGGTGGTTTGCATTACCATACTAAAGCTCTGAACTTTCAGTGTCTGCCTTTAAAAGGAGTGCAAGAGAGATGACTCCAAAACCATGAACTCTCTGTGCTGTTTACATTACATTGCTTCCTGGTTAGTAGTTTGTGTGTATGTGTAAATGAATAGATAACTGTTCTCTACAGCTGATCTACTGCACCACATTTTCTAAAAGGTTTTGGGTGACAGCCCACCCCACCTGCTGGCTTATTGGTTTGAGTGAGCAGCTTTTCATTTGGTGGTAACAACTGTTGGCTTAGTTGGAAATAAAACTTCTAAATTTCTTTTTAATCTTGTTTCTTATTGCCTACATGTGAGCATCACATTATGAATTGGCATAAACCACTACCTTAGTGTTGGCTAGTCTAACTCCTATGAAATACTGCTATAGCCCAAAGGGGTGGAACTAAAAAAGAAGGGGGTATAAAAAATTGAATCTAAAAGATCAGGAAAGTTCAAGAGGAATGTTTGTGTTGAGAGGTGAATCCACATAATACATTCATGTATACACAACAGAAGTGGCATTTTATTCCAGGGTTTTGAATATTCTGCAAAAGCAGCTGACTCTTCTGTGTCCAGACCAGTTGAAGAGGATATTTTGGATTCTTTTGTATGAGCCGGATTTAAAACGACACTTGAACTTTGCAGCTCTACAGTCTACCGTCAATTTTTGTTTGTTTTGTGTTTTTTTTTGGGGGGGGTGTTTTTGTATTGGTGCTGTTGCCAGGGACTTGGGTGCACAGGTTGCAGTATTTTGTTATTATTAAAACTGTTGATAAGGAGAGGTTCATTTTCTATGTTGGCTTCATTTGGAAGCAAATAGCCCCATAGACTACCAGTATTACACTAGCTTATTAGTTTCATTGTGCCTTAGAATTTAATTGGTTGCTATCTGCTGGAAGAAGTGGCCCAGTCACTTAACTTGGACATTGCCATGTTTGCTGCCAGATTTGCTTTAGGGAAGGTTTGCTCTTTGCCCTCCTGTTGAGACTAAGATAGCCAGGAGGGTAGCAATTCCATCAAGCCCTTTCTGTGAGGATTCTGCCTGCCTATAGGAGTAGCAGAAGACTGTGTGGCAGAAGTAACACTTTCCTCCTGAACTAGACGCTAACCTGGTTTGCATGTAATTTTAAATAGTAGGTTAATTAACACCCATCAATAAATGGGATTGAGCAAGTTAACTGCTTTCTCAGAGCTCCTCACCTCTACTTTTAACCAGCCCAAAGGACCAGGTGGTAGGCTGTGAAAAATGACATGGAAACATAGAATATTGGGTTGTTAAGCCTCTATTAGCCTCTAAACAACCCTAATAGTTAAACACATGATTTGTTGTGAAATGCTGGGTTGTTTAGCCCAAGTACCACAAAACTGGGGCAAGTATACGATTGGACAATTTCTTTTTTTCCTTCTTTGTATATTTTCAGTAGGAAACATTTTAAGTCAATGCATGTAGAAGAGGCAACATGAGAAGAAAGAACAAAGAAAAGGAGGTGATGAAGTTTTTCTTTTTTTGATACTAGTGACATAATTGTAAGTGGTTGAAAACTGCAAAATGACTTTCCTCCTGACAAAATTCCTCAAATGATTTCCCAGAAAGAATATTCCAAAGCTTCCTCACATTACAGCTTAGGTGAAATCTGATGGCCAACCAGGAGAGTCTCATAAAGTTTCCTTTGTCTGCCCTCAGTATGCATAGGTTTCTCTGGCATTTAAAAACAACTCTTTTAAGTGTCATATACTAGGAATTTTATTTATTTGTTTAAAGATGTTTCTCCTGCCTTTCAGGGTACACTGCCCACATAACACTATTACAAAAATATAAACCCAAAAATTAAAAATAAACACACAGAAACATATATAGCTGTTGGTGGCTTTTAAAGCACCACCTGCGGACTAAAATAGCCATGAAGAGACCTTATATATCTCTATGAACATAGAGTATCAAGGGTGTGGAGCCACCACTTCAAAAGCACTATAGCACTCAACAACCTCCCAACTCTTGTTGGTGGGCCAAAAGCTAGGGCATCTAACACTAATCTTAAGACTTGGGCAGGCTCATAAGGTGGAGATGTTCTTTAGAAAATGTGATAGTTTAGATAGTTTCTTTTTCCATTCCCTACCAAGGCTACTTTTTCCTGGAAAACATGCAAACCTATCCATTGTCCACCAATTAGGGCTCCCAAGGTAAATTACAATTGAAAATTTTAAAAAATCACACATATCGACATAAAGAGCAAGAGAAAAGCAATCTGAAAAAACAAGGAAATGACTACAACATTGAAAATTGCTCAAACCCATGCTGAACAAAAAAGCTTTAAAAATTCAGCTGACACTAAACAAAGAAAGAATGAAGTCTTCTTAGAGAATGATTTTCCTATGAGTTTAAGAGTTTCTGCATTAAGAAAAAAGCAAACCAGAGTTAGCACAACCTGTTAGGATCTGCAAAATATAGCAATCCATTGTGGTGACAAACCATAGTAAGTTACTGCATAATGTTAAGCCAAGCTTTTTCTTGCACAGTGGCTAATTTGAGGGCAACCAGCCATTCTGATAAGCAATCGTTTGTTCTATGAATTCTAGCCACAATGGTTTGTCTTGCCATCTGAACCTGGGTGACTGACCCCTTCATGAGAGTGAACGTCTTGACAGAAGCAGCAAAAATGTCTTGCTGCACCTGCTGAGTTCACCCTGGCCACCCCCTGTGCCAGTCACCGCACAAGACCCCTAGTGGCAGTTTGGAATGAGAGGCACTGGCTGGGGGTGGGTAGTATGGGATTCATACCTCCTTTGCAGCAAGACCCTCTTTCTTTTTCTTTTTTGTTCTTTGGACTCATCTCTCCTAAGGGTGCTCTTACTTTCCCACTTGTTCTTGAGACACTAACAGCTCGAGAATGTATGGAAAAGTGAAAATATCCTTGACAATCAAGTCAAAATTGAAAGATTTGCCATGAAAGTAGTTTAAATCTTTCCACCCACTTTTCAAGAGCACTTTGGTTTAGCATGGCAGCTTGCCATTTGATACCAATGAAACAAACCAAATGAGGGTGAGGAGGTAGGGCTTATTTGAAGCCTTTCTGAGTCCATATCCAAGGTTGGTATTTTGCCAGCAGATATCTCCCTAACCACTGAATTTATCCTTAAAAACCTTTTCACAAGTTCACCAAAGTTGAAATATGATATGCTATTAAAATGTGTTTATATCAAAATAATAACTGTTTTAAATTTTTTTCTTAAAGGAACTGTATCAGTCTATTTTACCAGTATATTATCCACAAAGTGAATACACTCAAACTGAAAAACTAGAGTGAAACTTAAACATAATATTTATCCTAGCTAATTGTGTGACATTGTACCCATAATATTTCTGTTAATAGTCAAGCAGTGAAAAAAGTGACTATCTTGACTAATGTATTTGTGTTTCTAGATATAAAAGATAACATCAATACTTACTGGAACTTCTCAGCAAAATTTTCAATATGAGACAATCATGATGTAGCAATGTTTCCAAAAGCAAGTTCCAATTACAATATGGTTGAGATAAGAGCAGTTTCAGTTGACCCTGAACAGCCATTTCTCTGGCTGATGGAACCCTTTCACAAAATGTAAGATAAAGACAGAATAATGTAGTTAATTTATCTATGAAATTAATAGCCTTAAAGTGCAGATGTAACGCTAACTCCTTTAAATGTCAATTCCTCCCAAATTACTCTGAAAATGCTTTCATGGTTGCTTACTTTAAGGCTGCTCAGGGAAGGAATTATATTTAATCTCAACTAGCTAAAAGCAAATTAACAATTGGTAGACTGCCAATTTTATAACTGATACAAAGTAACCTCACTTATCTCTTTCATTGGAACCATGTATGCTCTTGTTTCATGAGGCAAACATTATTTTTTATTGCCTGAATAGATTTGAAGCATTATATTTTAGTTCACTGTAATATTTAATTGTTTAGAATGTTATAAATATATGAAATCAAGTCTATGAAGAGACGTCATGCTATAAATTAAGGGAGAACTGTGAAATTATATGCAGTTATATTAACAGATACACAGTAAGTATCCACAGTGGCTTGGAAATATCTACTCTAGTTGAGGGTCTGTGCTAGAAACTTTACCAGAGACTTTTGTTAAGCAGAAATTACTATGCAATGCTAGCATATGTGTTTCAAGTATTAGATTATTGGGTAGTCTACCTCAAGGAGAATATTCATGAACATTCTGTCTTTAGTTATGTTCTGCAATTGTAGAACTCGGGCAGCTCAAGAGTCTTACAAAGGAAAAATTCCCAACAGATTGAGGGCAGTATCCAATATGTCAACAGATCTGTAGAGCAACATCTGTAGAACATCAATGACACAGAGTAGGAATGTAACATGTTCTAATATTACACAGAAGTGTTAGTTATTCTCATCTGTGTGCTGAGTATAAATTCAGAGTAATTTGTTTTGTATATACTACAAACTGAATGTGTTCTTAGATAAGAAGTAAGGTAGCTAAGTAGGTTAGCAAAAGGCTCCTCAACTTAGGAGAAAAGGGCCCTTTCACAACAATAACCCTAAAGTATGGGCAGAAGCAATGATTGATCTGATGCTCCCATTTAAGCTAAGTTGTAAAGGAAAGAAAGAAGAGCTTCTATTAATAGCATGCTATAGATTGTAAGGTTTGGACATGGTTGAGAAGAGAGATCCTAAAAAATCAAGGTGTCAACCAAGCATGATCACCTACACTCTGCCTACCACACTTGACAGATAAGTAATTAAATGATATAATTATTGTTTTGTTGGTTAAGACAAATATAACTTTAATTGAACTAATAAATATGCAAGTTGTTCTACCCAGTTTGTATGTTATGTTGCCCCATAGGCAATGAGTTTGTAACTGCTTTAATTTTTCAGAAGTGTGCAGTTAGCAACTGATCAGACCTTGTTGTCATGCATTAGTTGTCCCCAGTGCTTTTTTTGCTGGAACCCTGGTGTCAGGTATCTGCTATCTCACTATCATATAGCAGACAGCAGACACAATAGCAGACTGCAGGCACTATGTCAATGATGTTTGCTGCTGATCTGCTATGCCAAAATCACTTGTAAAATCCATTAAAAAAAAGGTACCGGAACACCGTTCTGGTGGGTTCTATGACAAAAAAAGCCTGGTTGTCCCTAGGATGAATTTCTATCCCACAACAGCTCTGCCTTGATTTGGAAGAAACCACAAACAAGCCTGGTTCTTTCGTATTGCTTTGGATTGCAGCTGAAGCTTAGCCTTGAATTATTTTTTCTCTTTCCTCTATCTCACACATCATTTCATCCACACAGCTCATTCTTCTATTACTCAGAACTTATCCTGCCTTTTATTAGTGGTTTACCATTTATGTTTTATTTTAATACAGATAAAGTATTGACTGGATGAAAATTTAACTGCCTGGATAGACACACAGCCCAACAAGTGTTAATGCCAGTACACTGCTATTTTTATTATATTTTTAATCATTGAATGTAGTCATGTGTATTGCTTATTGACATTTTCTAATGCTGATTGAACAATAAATATTTTCTGGTACCCCCTGGCTTAAGGGAGGCTTCAGGGAGCTTTTTTTAAAAACTAGAATTATAAAGCAAAAAAACAACCCTGCTATGTTAATCTAAGCCTGGGTAGGCAACCTGGTGTCCTCCTGATGCTTTATTTTTCTACTCCCATAAGCCCTGACCATCGAGCAAGGAGACTGGGGCTGATCGGACTTGTGGTCCAAAGCAAGTGGAAGGCACTGGATTGCCTACCCATGGCCATTGAGCTTATCTGATGCTGAAACATGGAATATCTAGGGTGTATCAGTCTTATATTTATTGATATAGGACTGATTTATTTAAGGCTGGATTATTTATTGTTTTGTTTGTTATTGTTATTGGTTATATTGTGTTCATTTTCCTCCTGTTTCCTATTTATATGGTTGTATTTATATTGTATTTTAATTTTACTATATTTTATAGTTTGTTTGTTGTTATTTATTTTAATCTGTAACACACACACACACACACACACACACACACTGTACTGTGAGTAGCCCAGAGAGCCTCCAGCTATGGCATGGAATACAAATGCAATAAATAATAAAATTACATTGCACATCAGAAATATTGCAATATATATTGAATATAAATGCTACCTATCAGCCAAAATTTCTGTTCCATGTCCCAATACATTTTTTTGTAATACTATCTGGTTGCAACAGTTGCCAATGAGAACCATTGAGTGAGGTTAGCAGATCAGAATAGGTCAAAGAAGATGCAAGAGCAAATCCATACTCAGCCATGAAGTTTCTTAGCACAGAAACTCCCAGTTTAACGTATCTCACAGGATTTCTGTGTGTATAAAATGGGTGGGGAGGAGCCATTCATTCCTTGGAGGATAGAGGGAGTAAAAAAGTGGTATATAAGTACATATTTGATTAGGGTGAATTTTATGTTTTATGGATCCTACTTTCAACTGGGTTATAGGAAGCTTAACATAACAGTTATATAGATGTAGCCATTATTATGAAAACTGAAAGCTTTCCTATTATTTCTCCCTACTGCGCCCTCTTATCACTTAAACCTTTGCCTCAATATCGAGTATTGAGAAAGACCTGAGAAGTAAAATGCATGTTTGTTCCTACATTAGGGCCAGTGAAAGAAGACAAAGGAGGCAGAGGAAAAACTGTAATCCTCTTTGTGATTACTGCAAAATTGATTGTGGCTCCAGGCACTTGATTTAGCCTTTGTCTGTGGGCATGAGTTGGTGGTACTCTGCATGTTGGATATATGGAAATCACCTTGTTGTCACAGTCAGATCACTTTCTGGTGAAATCTGGTTTCACAGTACTGGTTCCTCCCTGCAGGGATGGGGCCCATTAAGAAGGTCCATCCCTAGAGAATTATGAAACCTAATGGATCCTTCAATGCTGTAGGGGATTTTCTAGCAGTGAGAGCAGGAGATTCTATCAAGGCAGCTGTCATACTGTGAAATAGCAAGGACCAACCAAAACCAACACAGCAACTCCTGAATACCCCTTTTCTCAGTGTGAAGCTTGGAAGGCTTTCTTATGGCACTCCAGACAGTAAAACAGATCAGAAGAGGCTGGAACATCAGTGGTGTAGGAGTACTTGCAAAGTTGACTGAGCACATGTAAGAGCATGTAACTGTCTATAATACTACTATGCAGCAAAAAACTCAGTAAAGAAGGCACACTTTGCTACCTGCATCACATCTCTATGTAGCTGCTCAGCTGAGATTTCCCAGTTTACAGTGTTTTTGTAATCTACCCCAGTGAATCCAGTATTAGAGCAGTTGGGAGGCCCTCTGTGATAAGTTTGCAAGGCAGTTTAAAGATAATATCATTCACCAAGATGGTGACTTGAACACAACTGTTGACACAGTGTCTCTTGAGGTGCCTAGTGTATCATCTTACCGTTTTGTGAGGTAAGGTTCAGTTTTTGAAGCCTGGAGATGCAGACAAGATATATTGGAATGACCCACCACGTATTCTCATACTCTTTGCCCTTCATGGCTTCTTCAAACTAGCAACAGGAGACTGACTTGGGAAATAGTGAATGCATTGTTGCATCATGATGTATACCCTACTGCCTTAAAGGAATCAGCACTGCCAACACTCCTGAAAAACCCTCCCTGAACCTCCTGGAGATTTTTGTTAATTATTATCTAATCATGGATATCCTTTCTCTTAGGTAAAGCGCTCAAGAAAGTGATGACATCGCAACTACATGCTCTCTTGAATGAAACCAATTATCTGGATTCATTTTAGCCCCAATTTTCAGATGGAACCAGTCTTGGTCACACTGATGGAGAGAGGGAGAGGAGGGAGAGGGTCACATTCAGGAGAAGAGAAGCAGAGGCTCAGGAACTGTAAGCCTGTTTCTTCCTGATTTCACAGTAGCATTTGATATCATTAACCATCATAACATCTTGGAGTGCCTTCATGAGTTGGGAGCTCAAGGCACTGTTCTATATGTGTTTGGCTCTTACTTGTTGGTTCAGCTCCAGAGGATAATACTGAGTGGCTGTGCATTGACAGTTGAACTGTGGGATAACAAGGGGCACTATCTCGTAACCATTGCTGTTTAATATCTATATGAAGCTGCTGAGAGTAGTCATTAGCTTTAAAATAAACTGTTACCCGTATGGCACTCAGATCTATTTTTCTGTTGACATCTTTTTGTGTTTTATATTGTTTCTAAAGATGAAATTGTTTAAATAATAGATTTAATATTTATTTATAAATATTTGATATTTAATATTTATTCTATTGAAATTTTATTAAGTTGTTAATTAATAATTTGTATAAATGTACAGGAGAAAGCTGTTACTGCTTATATTTTGTGTACAAATATGTATGCTATTTCATTTTTATATAATTGCCATTTTTTCATACTAAAAAAACTGTTAATACTTGTTTTGTTACAGGTATTTATAGGCTTTGCCAAATTTTTCATGTTGAGTAATACTTCACTGAAAGTTTTTTTTTTTAAATACAACTTTGTTTTTATAACTGGATTTATACTGGAAACAACTGGATTTGTTTTATTATGTGTTGTTAATTAATACTGTTTGATAGTGTATATTTGTTTTATAGGTGATCTAACTCCAAACTGGGCCTTAATAAATTATTTCCAGTACGTTTTTGAAATTTCCTATCTTATATTTTTTTACTGTATTGGGATCTCATTGAGTAGAAAAAAGGTAATCTTGAAATAAGAGTCAGTGCAAGTTAATACAGTGAAAGCTAACATTTACTTTTTTTCTTTTTTAATATGAACAATTATAGCATTCAATTAAAATACCAGAAGTGATTATATTTGCAGTGGGAGGGGGCATAAATAGGCTGTAAAAATGAGTGTGGGAGGATTTTTAGTCCAAATTTAGAAAATGAATAACAGTACAACTCATAACATATGTCTCGTATGTAAATTGTCATTACAGCAAGAAGCAGCAAGAAAATTATGCATTTGCTTGTAAACATGCAGTATTCTAAAAATACAAAATAGAACAAAGGGATAAAAGTAAATTTCAGTTTTGTAGAATTATGTAGCCACTTTAACTCTCAATGTAATTACTTTTAAAGTGACAAAGTTTTATATAATTCTCTAAAGAATAAGATATAATAGTTGGGTGGAGTTATATTATTGTCAGCCACTTTGCATTTTAACAAGATATCCTGAGCATTATAAAATTTCAGTGGTAAAGCAGGTATTTGGATAAGGTTTATTGATAACTACCCAGTCAACAATGTTACATAATAGATTTACTATCACACTAAAAGCAGTTTTGAATCATTCAGAGACTGGTGCAGATTTACAATTTATTATCAGCAAAAACATCAACAGTGAATAAAAGAATATATTGTATCAAAGGACACAATTCTATTGATTGTGCCCTTAATGTCTGAAAGGCTCCAAACCTTGGCTACATACAGCCAGTGCAGAATGCGGGATCTGTGCCTCCCTGCTCCTTCCCCTTCTCTGCAGTTCACTAGATAGCCAATTATAGTCATCTAGCTGCAGCTCTCTGGAGGGGAAGAAAGAAAGCTGGAGCTCCATCAAGATGTCCAGGTGGTTACAGTCTCCTCTCTTACTGCCTTTCTGAGGTCACCCTCCTGATCTTGGAGAAACAGCCAGTACAGTTCTTTCCACACTGGCTGTGGTTTTATGGGGGAGAGGGACAGGGAGAGTGTGGGTCCATAGCTTCAGGTCTGGAAATCCAAAGTACCGCGTGGCCTTCCTAGATGCTCTTGAGGGACCATAGGATAACTTTCTTAGTTTCTCATGAATACAATGACATTTGAATACTCACTTCAGTAAAGAAGGGGAAAATTGTGTTATGCTGGATAACCAGTGCAATGGTTGGTAAAAAGTAGGTTCCAAAACACCCGAAGGCAAGGGATCACCACTATCATTCTGAAATGTTCTGCAAAATACAAGTGGTTAAGAGTAAAATATCATCATATTTCTTTCATGGGATAGAAAACAACTACTTTGGATCCAAACAATTATGAGTAGAAGATATTTCAGTTCACATAAGAAAAGTCTCCAATTTCAATTAATCTCCACATAAAATACTCTTGCATTGTTCCCAAACCCACAACAAGAGCAAGGAAGAAGCAGAACTCTACCTGCAGTTCTCAGGATCCAAGCCAAAATTTGTTCACAAATTCACAAATTTGTGAAATTTCACAGATTCTTTCACCTTTCCTGATAAAGGTGCTTCAACTTCCATACCATTCTGAAATCTGATTATTTGTAATACTTTTATTGTTGCTGCTGCTAGTCACGAAGTTGCGTTCAACCCATCGCAACCCCATGGACAACATTCCTCCAGGCCTTCCTGTCCTCCACCATCCCCTGGAGTCCACTTAAGCTCACACCAACAGCTTCAGTGACTCCATCTAGCCACTCATTCTCTGCCGTCCCCTTCTTCTTTTGTCGTCAATTGTTCCCAGCATTAGGCTCTTCTCCAGGGAGTCCTTCCTTCTCATTAGGTGGCCAAAGTATTTGAGTTTCATCTTCAGGATCTGGCCTTCTAAAGAGCAGTCAGGGTTGATCTCCTCTAGGACTGACTGGTTTGATCGCCTTGTAGTTCAAGGAGTCTTCTCCAGCACCACAATTCAAAGGCCTCAATTCTTCAATGCTCAGCCTTCCTTATGGTCCAGCTTTCACAGGCATACACTGCAACTGGGAAAACCATAGCCTTGACCATACGCACTTTTTGTTGTCTCTGCTTTTTAGTATGCTGTCTAGATTTCCCATAGCTTTCTTCCCAAGGAGCAAGCATCTTTTAATTTCTTGGCTGCAGTCACTGTCTGCGGTGATCTTGGAGCCCAGGAAAATAAAATCTGTCACTACCTCCATTTCTTCCCCATCTACTTGCCAGGAAGTGATAGGACTGGATGCCATGGTCTTAGTTTTCTTGATGTTGAGTTTCAAGCCAACTTTTGCACTCTCCTCTTTTACCTGCATCAAGAGGCTCTTCATTTTCTGCCATTAGAGTTGTATCATCTGCATATTTGAGGTTGTTGATATTACTCCTGGCAATCTTAATTCCGACTTGTGGTTCATCTAGCCCCACCTTTCTCATGATGTGCTCTGCATATAAGTTAAATAGGTAGGGTGACAGTATGCAGCCTTGCCAAACTCCTTTCTCAATTTTCAACCAATCAGTCGTTCCATATCCAGTTCTCACTGTTGCTTCTTGACCCACATACAGGTTTCTCAAGAGACAAATAAGATGGTCTGGTAACCCTAACAACTAGAAATAATATGATGGGTTCAGGTTTTATTGAAAGGTTTTGCTCAGAGCACAAAAGCAAAGCAGGCTTTTTTGCTCAGAGCAGGAAAATAAAAAGTTAGGCTTTTTTGCACAGAGCAGGAAAGTAAAAAGTTTTGATTCCCCATTTTTTAAAATACTAAAGTATTATTCAGGAATGACTGAAGCACAGTCTTCATAACATATTAGTTGTTCTTTTCAGCAACATTTCCTACACTATTCTTTCTGAAGTGGGAGGACCAGAACAGCACATAGTTCTCCAAATGTAGCCACTTCATGTATTTATATAAAGTTACTATGCTGCTGGCTAACTTATTTTCAATCCTTTTCCTAATAAACCGTAACATGTTACATGCCTTTAAGAGCATCACGATTATACACTGAATTGACGCTTTCATTTCCAACAGGACTTCCAAAACCCTTTTCCCCTTTCTGCTTAGTCATAATCAGTTATTCTTTTCCTCAAAGAGAGAATCTCCCTTTCCACAATGTAAGCAGTTATTTGCCAATAGTAGGGAGAACTCTGAAAGGCTGAATATGGGAAGACACTTATCGGTGAGCTTAAGTGGCTGCCAAAGGAGGGAAGGGGCAAGACATTCTGCACAAACACTTCTGCCAGCGCTTCAGTGCATCCAAACCACATTTCACTTTCCCAGTATACTCACTGATGTATAACCATAGCTCCTAGGAAAGGCTGTTTAAGATATGCTATAACAGCTGCCTCTTCTCTCAAAGTTGGAGAAAGCATCTGTGAAAGTATTTGGTACTAAAGCAAAATTTTCTCTTCTGTAATTCTGTCATATATGACAAGGTGAGAATTGAAGGTGTGAAATGATGAGAAGCCTAAATGATGACTTCTAATACTACTGACTGGTGGATTCTAAAGAATTTGGTGTTGAAAACAATCTTAAATTTGGTGTAATATCGAATTACATGAATTTAGACTTTTTACTTTTTGGAAACATACCTTCAGATACTAAACTTATATTTGCTATTAAATACAACAGGACAACTTAATACTATTTGACAGCATATAAATGGAAATATTAATTAATTAATGAAAAGTATGGGTCAGCCCCCATTAATAAGAACAACCTGTTGCGTATGAGCTGGGTCTGTAAAAAAATTATGACTGACTGGAAGCTCATGATGGATATGAATTGCTTTATTCACCAATGTTCTATTTGTTTATTTTATTATATTTTTATCTTGGGGTTTTTTCTGCAAGGAACTCAAGGCAGTTTACACAATCCTCCTCTTCATTTCACTCTCACAAAAACCCTGTGAGGTATGTTAGACTGAGAGACAGTGACTGACACAATCCCAGTGAATTTTATGGCTGAGTGAGAACTAGAACCTGGATCTCCTGGGTCCCAGTTCAATGCTTTAATCATTACACTACACTGGCTGTTATTGGACTTAGTTTGATGAAAGAAAAAGGCACGTCAATCTTCTAGAAAAGCTGATGACAACAGTTAGAACATACAGACAACAACAAAAACAACAGGAAGAAATAGGTCCTGTGAAATTTTTCATATAAATATTAACCTTTTATTTCTTAATAGAATGCAAGAAAACAATAGATTGGCAAAAGACTGAGTAAGTAACATCGTTTTGCATTCATTTGGATGCTTATGGATTGCAGAAATAATCATTTATGAAAATTGATTTTCAGGATTGCATGAAAGTATGATAATATCAAGCCTGATTCCAATTGCAGGCCATAGCACCATGACACATGCAGATGGCAGTCTCAAGTGATTAGCATCATTCACTGACACATATAAACTTTAGCAGTGCCAGTTTTACCAGCACTTTGCATTCTAGTGACAAAGCCAAAGACCAGAAATTGCAACCATTATTTCTACATGTGAGATATAGCCTAGGGAACCAAAGTACTATTTGTCTTCCAAGATTATGGCAAGAGGGATAGGCAAAAGTAAATCAAGGAGCTGAGGTTGTTATATTATTAAAGAGAATATTAAAGAGAAAGTATGGAGCAGGGACAGAAGTCAGGCACAAAAAAAATAAAAAGGCAGAATCTGTTACTGTTTCCCTTACTCTCTCAGACCATGAAAAGTACTACATACACATGCATGTACATTATTTGACTTCTCAGCACCTAATTACACAATATTTCAGGATATGCAACTGAAGTCCAGCCTGCAGGTGAAAATGATGTGGTATACTTCTAAATTTGATAGAGAGTACTACAGGTGCAGAAATAATGTTTGTCAGCTCCTATGCACAAAAACATCCATGTAAGTAAAACACTAGCAAAGCAAACAACAGGCTGGGAATGAACATTTGCCATGAGACACTAGTATATTTGTTCTGTTTGAACTTCTATTTTTTAATAAAGGAATATTTTAAAATGATACAACTTTCCAGCAATCTGAAGCAGTATAGACCATTCTACCACCTCAGTTCCGCTTTGTGAAACAGGCTTGAACTTGTGAAATGTTTTTAACTAGTCTGAACCTACCTGAAATCTCCAGCAAACAAATGTCTTCATTGGAAGAAGCTTAGTTCCAGTGGAGCTTTCCTGACTAGAAGTGGAAAGTGTGTGTAATTTGGATTTCTCCTTTCCCCTCACAGCTTCAAGGCCCTTGCCACACTGTTTCAGAGGTTTCCTAAACCTTCATAGAAGATCTCTGGGAGGTGCAAAAGACTGCATGGTGAAGAACTAAGACCCAAGAGTATAAAAACGGACATCTACTCAAAGAACTCTGGATCTGCTCCACTGTGTCTGAGGCAAAATAAACTGATACAGAAGATCAGTTTGACGTACTGCCAGGTCAAAACAATTTGGCCTAGCTTTTTGGGGGAAGAGAAATAACTCCTCCAATCAAATCAACCTTTGGGGGCAATTGTCAAAGATTTTGGAGAGGGACAGTCTTGGCCTTACTACAAAGTGGCTGTTCCTGTATTTATTTTATTGGTTTTTGTTAAGTTTCTCTGTAGTGTCACTCACATTCTGTTCACAGGAACATAGCCAGACAGTTGCAAGCAACCTTACCAGCATTTGATACAGAATATAGATTTCACAAAATGTGTGTGTGTGTGTGGGGGGGGGGACCACAAAAAAAAAAAAAATATCCTTGGCCATTTTACATTTCAGGCAAGACTTCCCAATTTCCCCAAATAACCCCTCCCCCATTTTCCACAGGGGATACATTATTGATCCAGAAAACCAGGGTTGTGATCAGTATACCTTTCAGTTGCAGGTGCTTGATTCTGGATGGATCATTCACATATGAAAATCATCAGAGTTTGATCATCATAAAGTGAGACTCAGATAAATGTGAATGACAAACAACTGATTTGTATGCAGATTAATTCTGGGAACTGTCTAGTGGCTAGCATGAACATATCTAGTGAATAGTGCAGAAGTAATTTCATTTTCAGCTTTTTTTTTCCTGAGGGCACATTCATCCTTTGCCACAGCTATATGCAAGGTTAGACATGTCTTTTTACAATTCGACAAAAAGATTGCAGCTTCTGTTACAGGTTATTTAGGCCTTTTCACTCTCAAGTTTAAGTTACTTCTCTGTACTTCAATTGTGAATATTCTTCAAGCCTATAAATGACTCAGCCAGTGCAAAATATAGCCATTTAGCTTTCCAGTTTACACTGTCTTCTTA